GGATGTCTGTAGGGTGGGCACAGGGTGCCCATAGGGGGGGTCCAGGATGTCTGGGGTGGGGACAAGGTGTCTGGGGCAGGTACAGGGTGTCCGTGGGGCAGGCACAGGGTGCCGGTGGCAGAGCCGTGTCTCCGCTGCTCTCAGCTCTGCTGACCCTGCCCAGCCGGGGGGTGGCAGTTGGGGGGTTCTGCCCCCATCCCTGGTTGCCCCTTGGCCAGGAGCAGGTCCAGGTAAGCCCCCGAGATCAGGTCGTCCTCCCCGACCCCCAGGGCCCGCAGCAGCTCCCGGGCCACGCGCTCCCCGTCCTGCACGCTCTGCTCCTGCCTCAGCACCACCTGCGGGCAGGGCATGAGCCTGGGGCACCCCTGTGCCCCCCACAGAGCCCCCAGCCCGGCCCAGCCCCTCACCTCCAGCTCCAGGAAGTCGCCCAGCCCCTCCACGCGGTCCAGGTGCACCCGGGTCTGCCCCACCAGGTAGAGGAGCCGCTCCTTCCTCACCACGCCCAGCACGCCCAGCGCCTGTGCCAGCACTGCCTGTGGGACAGGGGGCAGCTGGGCCTGTGCCAGGAACCCCAGGGTACTGTGCCCCATGGCAGGGAGAGCAGGTGGCACCCCTGGGTGCTGTCCCGGGGGGGTGGCCAAGCCCCCACCCCGCTCTCACCTCCAGCCCATCGGGGTCAGCTGTGGGGGTGATGGTGAAGCTGGAGAGTTTGGGGCCGGTGGTGTCGGGGCGCTCGTAGAAGATCAGCTCCCCCCGGCCATCCTGGGGCAGGGACACACAGGGACAGGCAGGGACAAGGTCATGTGTGCAGGGACAGGGAGGGGACAGGCACAGGGTGAGGGAGAGGTAGGGTCAGGGTCGAGCAGGCAGGGTCAAGGACAGGGTCAGGGACAGGTAGGGGCAGAGTCAGGTAAGAAAAGGGTCAGGCAGGGGCAGAGTCAGGTAGGTACAAGGGCAGGCAGGGACAGGATCAGGGGCATCGTCACAGGGTCAGGGTCATATATGCAGGGTCAGGGAAAGGTAGGGACAGGGCCAGACAGGGTCAGAGTCTGGGCCAGGGCCAGGATGACACACGCAGGGTTAGGGACAGGTAGAAGCAGGGTCAGTGTCACTCAGGGCAGGGGCAGGCAGAGGTGGGGACAGGTGTGAGAAGGGACGGGTGGTGGCAGGGGCAGGGACAGAGCCAGGTAGGGGAAGGGGCAGGATCAAGCCCAGCCCTCCCTCACCCCTCACCCCGCCCTTCACCTGTGTCCGCCGCAGCTTGAGCCGCCCCCGCGGGACGCGGAAGAACGTGTCGGCCTGGACGAGCAGCTGCCCCTGGGCTGTGCCCTGGGCGTGCCCCTCACCTGGGCACAGCTCACCTGGGCAAAGCTCACCTGAGCCACCCCGCAGCAGCCGCTCGGCCGCCCCGCGCGCTTCCGCCAGCGCCCGCACCCGCGCCTTCACCTCCACGTTCCGCCGCATCCCGCCGAGCGCGCCCATTGGCTGTGGGGCTTATATGGGTTCCCCGAGGTGAGACGCTATTGGATAGATAAACCGTCAATCTCAGGCAGCGCGTTGTTATTGGTCAAAAGGCAGATCTTGCCCCGCCTCCCCCCTCTGCCACCGCCCCTCGGCCCAGCGGGACAGGGCGGGGGCGACCATGGCGGCCAAGGGGGGCCGCGGGACCGAGAGCGAGGACAGGGCTGTCCCCGACGCCACTCGCCTGCAGGCCTACGCCTGGTGCCGGGAGTTCCTCGCCGGCTCCTGGAAGCTCATCAAGGCGGAGGAGTTCGGGATCGAGCCGGTCAGGTACAAAGCGGAACCGGGGAGATGCGCCCCCCCCTCCGCCCCCTCTGCGGTGGTCTCGTCCCGGGT